GAAAATAGTATGCCAGAAGTCCCCGGATGGTCTACTATTTCAGGTAGATTTTTGAAGTGTGGATCCACACACTCTAATGGCTAATATTACCCATAGATTTTTAAAGTGTGGATCAGTGCACATCGATGGCTAATATTACCCACAATCCATTGCGCTTTGACGAATGATTCGGTTCAGAATTACAATAAAAAACAACACGAATAAAAAACATTAAAAAACTACAAACATGGCAGATGTGCGTGACCGAAGGTTAAGTAGAGAGGTTTAGATAAAGAGGTTTGAGTCACTAATAATCAACATTTAACCTGTTTTTTTATTTTTTTATTTAATGTTATCTGTGTTAGGATATTGCATCTACAACAACAATGTGAACTTTTGTAGGGATTTCTAGTACATGAACGGACACTGCTATGCTCCTTTGAAATCGGTTTAATCAGGTGAGCTTCGGGGATTCAGACCCGAGTCCTATCAAAACCTGAATGAATTAATAATAATTAATTCCCTTACAAATTTAAGTAGTCAAGTTGTCTACACTTTTATAAACATCCCTTTGGCCATTAACTTTTAAATGCATCATTATGCAAAAAATATGAGCAGAGTTCTCTGCATAAAAACCTACGGCTGGCAGATCAACGTGCTACTTCATTTCTCTCCAATACGGTAGGAAGTTAAATTAAATTTATTGTGGAAGATTTTAACTGTGACAAGATGATTGACAGGCCAGTTTACAGTGACAGGGTGCGTGTAATTATGCGTCAGAGCAGTCCGTTAGACACAATTTTTATGACTTGATAGTGTCCCAAAGCTTGCCTACTCTTCTACTATACACACTCAAAAGTGTGTTATTTTTCTTCACCAAAAGAATACATACTTTAAGGGCGTAGTATTACCAAAGTAGTAAATTACCAATGAGATGCTTGATAACTAACTTTTAAGCGCAGCTTTGAGCCAAGAATTTTTTTTACTCAAGTCAATTCTTAGCAGCGTTCTTGAGAGTAATTCTCAGAGGCTTGATAAATACGGGCCCAAGTGGATGGAGGATTCTCGACCAATAAATGTGGTGATATGCTCAGATTCTTTCTCAGCATTATCAAGTCTAATTAGTGGGAGATCCTCAAGACAAGATATTCTATATGAAATTCTTTTAAGTATACAGGGTAAATACATTAGGAAGCAAGATATGTTTCCTGTGGGTTCCAGCACATGTGGGAGTAGATGGAAATGAGGAAGTGGATCATCTAGCAAAGGAGGCGCTGAAATTATCTTACATAGAACTGAATATTCCACTTACGTAAAGAAGACGTTAAGGCTATAATTAGAACAGCTATAAAAGGCAAATGGCTTGAACAAGTCGTGGCAGTAGAAGAGAAGACACAATCATTACCAGACTTCGCCTTGGGCATACAGCTCTTAATTATTCCCTGTATAAAATGAACAAACATGAGTCTGGGAATTGCAGTCTATGTGGATTATCAGAAACTGTAGAGCATGTATTAATGTATTGCACTGCTTATCAAAATGAAAGGATAATTCTGGTGGAAGAGTTAAAAGAAATGGGGATAGGAAATATTACACTTAAAAAAACTGCTGAATAATGGCTTGGAAAGTTATAGAGTATATAAAGCATTAATACAAATATTTAAGAAATATTTAAGGTGCATCTGTTTAAGAGGATTTAGAAGCCAATTTATTATTAGTGGTCCTTTCCTTCATTTTTTTTTTCCTCAGTCTTTCTTCCTGTTCCATCAATGAATCACACCCCAGCTCAGTAGGTGGCAGGAATGCACCTTTTTGTTTGTTTGCCAACCGCCGTAAAAAGCCAGAAGAAGACGGAGAACTCGCCACCGATCACTACCATGTTCACTACCCAGTGAGCGGCTGTAACTAGTGCTGCTGTCCTGTCCTGAACATACACACCAATGTCAACCTAAATATGGCATTACAGTTGTCATAACCACTGAATCATCTCTGCTGCACGGTAAGACCTTCACTGCTGTTGCTCAAGTGTAACCGAGCTGAGATCACAGATGATAAAGCTGTCCATTCAGCCGCATGAGAGCTGTGCTAACTAGCCACTACAGTACAGATCATGCTATCAGACTATCACTTTGTGCATTTACACAGCAGCTGAACCCTGAATCGTCGACCCTGGCAATGTTTATTTGAGCATGATTTGAGACCGCAGTATTATGTTACAGAGATAGTGTGAGCACCAGCACCAGCAAGCAGCGTGACTTTATAATGAACCGGTCA